TGTTCGTAAGTGATGTGGGAGGCAGCTTCTCTCCTTTATTTTGTCCCTTCTGGCTCTGATGTTAATTGTAGTCTGGTTTATGGTGATACTTTCCACATGATTATTTTTGTTTGCTTGTGTGTGTGTGTGTGTGTGTGTGTGTGTGTGTGTGTGTGTGTGTGTGAGAGAGAGAGAGAGAGAGAGAGAGAGAGAGAGAGAGAGAGAGAGAGAGAGAGAGAGAGAGAATGTGTGTGTGAATGTCTGTGAGAGCTGGCTTTCTTCTGCCCTATAGGTTTTGGGGATCAAACTCAGGTTGTCAGGCTTAGTGCCCCACCCCACCCCCGCATAATTTTTTGTCTTGAAGATCTCTCTTTTTCCTCACTTGGTCTCCTGTATCTCTGCTGCATTGCCTCTAAGTTGCCGTCCCTCAGACCCTTCAGATCTAATTGGACGTTACCTATGCGTTGTTTTCTTTTTTGTTTTTCTCTTTCTGATCTCATACTGAAGAAAGCTGACTCCCTCTCAGCTAGTACATTAGTTTCCGAGGTCTGCATGCCTTCTGACACCCATACCTTAACACATGGGGAATGATCTCTCCCGAGGCTTGACACCCGAAATGAAGGCTTTGGCAGGCTACTTTGTCCTGAGGTTGCAGGTACCTGTTGGTCTCCCGGTCTGGGATCACATGAGTTTCTGCCTCTGTCGTCATGTGCTTTCTGTGAGTCCACACCCACATCACACCCCCTTTCCCTTTCTGTTATAAGAGCCACTGCCACTGGATAATCCAGACGTCCCAGAATGGTCTCTTCACTCTGCTTTGCTGAAGGCTTGGGTGTCAGTCAGCTTCTGTGTGGCTTGTCCTCCCTGTCCCTCTGTGGACCACAGCTACCCAGGCTTCCAAGGCCGGCAGCTTCCCCTCCCCTTTGCTGGCATCTCATCCAACCCTAGTCTCCTCACTTCCCTTTCATCTGTTTCAGCCATCCACACACACACACACACACACACACACACACACACACACACACACACACACACACGCACTGGGAGCTGTCCAGCTTATTGTCCATTGCTACTAAACTCTCCAGTGGCTGAATGTCACGCTTGAATCCTCTGCTCCCTTCCTCCTCAGAGCCTCTGCTCACACTGCCATTGGCAGAAATGCCCCTTCCTCCCTGTTCTTCATTCTCTGAGTGCCACAAATAGTTCTGCTGGCCTCTTCCACCTGGGGCCACAGGCATACTCAGACCCTCCCCTTCTAAGGAATCTTCTCTTCTCCTTGCGGGCTGCCCGTTTCCCTTTCGTGAAATGTCCTGTCCACGGAACCACTGACGATTCTTTCGTTTCCAGAAGACACTGCTGTCTCCAGGGTTGGCAGGGACCTCCTCTTAGCATTGTCAGGAGGTGGAGAGGTATGGTGGTGGCTGCTTCGTCACTTACAATAAGGATGTGGTTTTCTCAGTGCCCCACCTCAATTTCTCTATTTATAAATGGCAGTAATAGTAGTACCCACGGAGCTGCCTGAGAGAATTAATTAATTAAGATGGCACACATAAGGCGTATCTAGGGGTGCCTGGCAAAGCACATGTTGTATGTCATGTGTTAGGTATTTTCTCTTAAATTATCTTTTTATTTTATTGTACTTTTTTTTTAATTTAAGACTTATTTTTATTTAGGTGCCCACAGAGGCCAGAGGATGGTGTCAGAGCCCCTGGAGTTGCAGCTACAGGTCATTGTGAGCCAACTAACGTGGGTGGTGGGAATGGAACCCTAGTGCTCTTCAAGAACAGCTAGCACCCTTAACCACTAAGCCATCCTTCCAGCCCTCAAGCTATCCCAGTCTTTTCCTCTGTAGCCTCTGCAGCATTTAACCTAGTTGGCTTCTTTTTAGTCTGTAGGTTCTTCTGAGGTTAAATAATTTAGGAGTCATTTAGCCTTAGTCCTCCTGTGTTTCATCTGCATAATGGGCTCATTACCTTCTCGTATCCATTTGAGACCAGTCTGTTCCACCTTGTGCTGTTACTTTCATGTCTCCCAGTTGTGGTTCCAATCCCTTTCTTAGCTGCAATCCCACCATTATAAGTGCTGCCAGATTGCCTGCCCCTCAGGTCCCTTTGGAAGCGCCTGTCCAGTTGACAGTAAGGCACTCAGCAGCAAGGTGTGTCTCTGCAGTCAGGAACCTGGATATCAGTGCTGGAGATCTCCCTGTCCAGGGACACTTTGATGTCCTTGCACATGCTGTGGCCTCCTTACCATCAGTGTTCCACACTTCCAGTGAGCAGAGCTGGATGTGGAAGGGTGGTCGACCCAAGCTTTTTACAAACCCCTTAATGTTTTTATAGTGGAGAAGGGGGCAGGTTCACGAAGCCCCTGTCACAAGCCCTGGCTAGAAGGCCTAGACACTTTGGCAAACTATTGCCTTTTGAAGTTTTTTCTTTTTCTTTCCTTTCCCCAAGGTGTTTTTCTTCCTTCTGAAAGGATAACTGGCAAACAAGTTGGATTTATGTCTCATTATGTAGAGGGAAGTAGAAAATGAGCCAATTAAAGAACACACAGCATGGTTTTAATTAAGTAGTGGTGCTTTTTAGTATATTTCAGAGTTGTCTCAAGACATAAGGGCAAACGCGAGAAAGACAACCTTATTTGTTCTCTGAATTATGGCTTCTTACAAGTTGGAATAAAAAATTTAGATAAGGATTTTTTTTCTTCAAGTCTTACCAGCGAGAGATTGCAGTTGCTATTAGCGATAATTAACTAGGAGGTGGCTGCATATGGGTCAGTGCAGCTGTATGATGTTGGGGACTTTGTTCTGATGGTTCATTCGTTTACTGTGACTTGTAGGTGCATCACTGTGTCCCTGTCAGCTGCTCTGTGTTTAAGCACATCTTCATTCCCAAAAGGGTTCCTGTCTTTAGGGACCAAACCCAGGAGGGCCATTCACCTGAGGGATGGAATTGTCTTAGCTGTAAATGATTTAAAGTAGACTAATAGATTGCTCCCCGCTGTTGAGAATGGTCCCCAGTTCCTCCTCATGTCTGTTCCTCCATTCACGCAGTGAATATAAAATGCATTCCTTAGGTTAAAAAAAAAATTCATCTTTGTTGTGATAATCTTGTTTTTTTCTAAACAATTTTGTACCTGTAGCTGAAACTATGTGGATTTTAGAGTTTATGCCTCTAAGACCCAGGGTAATGTCCCTGCACTCTTAACACCTTAGCATCCACTCAAGGGCAAAAGTTAGTAAAATCATGTCATGTTTCTAACCGTACACGATAAACGCACTATAAAATGCATGATCAAAGTCTAAGTAAGTTAAGTTCAGTTAGGAGCACTCTCCAACAGACACATCCAAGCCTGGGTATTCATTCTGTGAGAGTATCATTCCTCTGCACTGACAGCTTTTCGTCATGTGGACAAATCTGTTAACCAAATCTTGCGGGTGCCTAACTTTGCTGTGGGAATGAACCGCTTACCTGAATGGAGTCCTGAAGGTTTGGCTTTGTGATAAAACTAGTTAACATGGAAGGGGCATGGGAGGTTTCTGGTGCAATGCTACCTATTTAAAAAACAGAGTTGAGGTCCTGTAGGCTGTCTCAAGTGGGGTCCCCAAAGAGGATCTCCTGACTTAGCTCCTTGCCTGCTCAAGGGAGTGTAACACCTTAGTTAAGGCATTCTGGAGTCTGTCAGTTTACTGATTTCCTCAACAGATAGAAATTAGGGCCTGCTTTTAAAACACCTCAAAGAGTTAAAGCTACCAACCTGTGCGCCGACAGTTGACTTTTCATATTTTGTGTTTGAGAGGAATTATAGTACTTTGAGTAATTAACTCATAGAAATGATCCAAGTGGCTGTCACTTCCAAGTCATTCCTCCTTTCAGACACATTGAGGCTTTGGGGGCTCCAGAATGGTGACCCACCCAGGTGTTCTGGTGATCTGTAGACTCTGTCCTGGTGTTCTGGTGATCTGTAGACCCCATCCTGGTGTTCTGGTGATCTGTAGACCCCATCCAGGTGTTCTGGTGATCTGTAGACTCTGTCCTGGTGTTATGGTGATCTGTAGACCCCATCCTGGTGTTCTGGTGATCTGTAGACCCCATCCAGGTGTTCTGGTGATCTGTAGACCTCATCCTGGTGTTATGGTGATCTGTAGAAGACTCCATCCTGGTGTTTTGGTGGTCTGTAAACCCCATGCTGGTGTTATGGTAATCTATAGCATATTCACTGTAAGATAAGGGGTTACCTTTGTGGAGTTTGGGGTTTTAGTGAATTAATACAGAGTTTTAAAAAGTGAGTTTTGAATTAGAGGACTGTGTCCTTATAATAAATATTTCTTTTGAAATGATTATGTTTATATGAGGTTAAGGAATTTTACTGTAATTTGTGTATTTAGTCTTGATCTGTTAGCTAGACGGATGTTGCCACTTAAAGTTTTTCATTTTTATTTAAAGTTTACATTTATTTATTTCTGTGTATGATTTGTATGTGTGTGCACTCAAGTGCTATAGTGTACATATGGAGGTCAGAGAACAACTTTTGGGAATTGGTTTTCTTCTTCAACTATATGGGTACCAGGGCTCAAACTCAGATCATTGGGCTTGGTGGCAGGCACCTTTATCCACTGAGACATCTTGTTGGTCCCTATTTTAATTTTTAAAAGTCAACTTGTTCCTAAGTTTTTCATTTGTTTGGTTTTTGTTTTGTTTATTTTTTGAGAGAGGGTTTCACTGTGTAACAGCCCTGGCTGTCCTGGAACTCGCTCTGTAGACCAGGCTGGCCTCAAACTCACAGAGATCTGCCTGCCTCTGCCTCCCGAGTGCTGGGATTTAAGGTGTGCTCCACCATACCCAGCATTCCTAAGTTTTTTAAAGCAGGAAACAGTCATCTTGTATTTTGTTTTCTCCTTTGACATGGTAGGTAATTGAGTGTCACTTTTTGGGTACTTTGCTAAGTCTGAATATAATCTTCCTAAGAAAAAATCTTACCATTTCATGACCTTCTTTCTCTCTTTTGTTTTTCTTTTACAGCCAACACATACCTCTTTATGGTACAGGCTCGAGGTATCATGCTGAGAGAGAATGTGAAAACAATCGGGCATATGATCAGGCTGTACACGAGTCAGAACACCACGCTCAATGGCACAGGTAAGGCTGTGTCCTCCTCTGCTTACCCTGGGAGCTGCAGGTCAGTAAACCAACCTTGGAAATTCTAGCTCCTTCACCTGCTCATAACCACTGTCAAAGAGGGAGTTGCCTCCTACTAAGGGCATCGCTAGATGATTAGCATCCCCTACTAAGTGTACTGCTGAGTGGGTGTCTTCTAAATGTACCACTAGGTTGGCATTCCCTACTAAGTGCATTCTAGGTTGGCATCCCCAACTAAGTGTATTCTAGGTTGGCATCCCCTGCTAAGTGTTCTGCTAGATTGGTAGGACTGTCATTTAGTTTTGGATGCGCTTCTTAGTAATTTTATGACCCTTCAAGAAACCAAAGGATACATTTTATGAAGTTGGAAATCAGTAACTGCTCTTTGCTGTTTATGACGTTAACTGAAAGTGGGCTCTTCCTTAGACTCACACAAGGCTAATACCAATTTGACTCAACTAGGAATTTTCTGATTGGAAGTAGTTGGTGTCAGTGGCTTTATTTCCACAACAGGGATAATTATGGGATGTCACATTGACAAGATCTGTGATTGTCCCTTGAGGCACTTTTTAGATCTTTGTTTTACATAGTTAAACATATTAAAACTCTGTGCTGCTGTAGACATACTCAGTTCTCATTGCCTCTGCTCCCTCCCCCCCAGAAAGCCTCTGTCTCCCTCCATAGTGGGATTTTAATTTATGTCAGGTGGGTGGGAGTTTTACACCTAAAATTTCAAGATGATATGTGTACTTGTAGAGAATCCATCCTACTCATTTGCCTGATTTATTTATGATTCCCCAAATCTAAGCATTCTTACTTTCCTTTAATCTTTGAACCTTAATCTCATGTCTCAAGGTAGCTGACCCTTTGATAGTACAGGGGAGTCTCAGTCACTGGTCTCCTGCATTAGCTGGTCATATTAAAAGTTTAAACATTCAAGGAGTTTCTGTGGGCCATACTAGTGAAGAAGTCAATTGTGAGGATTTTCATTGAGAAGTCCATTCAGCTGGGGTGTAAAGTATGTTGAGGTTACTGTATTTGTCTGTGTGAATACTAAGAATCTCATGCATCTTTTTTCCCACTCTGGGATATGAATAAGTTTTCCGTGTGGGTGTTGAGTTTGGCTGGGAGCAATGATGACTTGAGCAAGCAGATGTTCCTCACAGTGCCCTGCAAAACACAAGGAAATTCTTTCTTCCTCTCTCCCAGCCATAGTTTTAATAAAGATGAATCGAGTGTGTATGTGTGTGGGGCGTGTACTTGGACAAAGAGTTGTTTACTTTTGTGAGCCTCTTAGAACCTTCCATAGGATTCCCGTGCTGGTGGGAAATGTTTTCTAGAAGACACAGGAGGCGTTTTTTCCCGTGTGAAGTCCAGCAAGCTGGCAGCCTGTAGCTCTTGTGGAGGGTCCTGAGCATGAACTACCACGTGTTTTTCTTTTTCCTATCTGCCCTGCCACATTACTTCTTAGTTAACGTATATCCCAAAGTGGTTGCCAGGGCTCCAGTCGGCCACCCTTCTGCTTGTATTTGGTTCAGTGGGGGTGGGGTGGAGTGGGGGACAGAAGATGTCCTCCTCTGTGTCCCGTCACCAGCTCACTGGACAGACCTAATTACATGGCTACAGGGTGATGGGAATGCAGATGTGAAATGTTCTGAGTGAAGCTGGGCTTTGTCACCCAAGGAGATGGGGAAACAGAGTCTGTGTTGGCAGCATTAAGGCTCTGCCGGACTCATTTAGGCAGCGTTTATTGAGCAATTAGTATAGGTTGTGCATGAGTAGATATGGGAGATGTAGAGGTAGGAAAAGCCCTTTAAAAAGAGCCTCCCAAGCTTCCGGGAGACATGATTACTAAATCATGGGGACATGATTACTAAAATGCATCTAATTGTTTTTTAAAAGACTTAGATATAATTTGCCAAAATAAAAAAAAAAAGAGGCCAGTAAAATGTACAAAGCTGTAAGTGAGCACTACAGGAGAATTGATGAACACATTTATAATTTAACACGAGAAGGGAAATTGGTCTTGATATTTATGTGTATATTTGGTTTCAGGTTTTCAGTGCTATGTCTGACATTCAGCACCATCGAGTACAAACAGGCTTAAAAAACTCTTGTGTAGAAATTGTAAGTTCTCAGAATCCAATGATGCCTTTCTGAGTAGCCTGTGGAATTGACAAAAGAGGTGTAGTTATTGAAAGTGAATTCAATAGGCAATCAGGGCTGTGCGGGTTAGAGATGATGGATTCATTAGAATGAGCCTGGTGCACCTCCTTACTTGATGGGTGCTTCAAGTGAGGCCATCGGCTGTGGCCATCTGCCTGTGTTAGTGGCAAGCACATCCGAGCTCTAATGGAGTTCCCACACCCCTTCTGGGGTTCTCTCCTGCGGAAGTGAAGCTCTTGAGAGGTGTCCTTTGGTCCTCTTCGGACTCTGTTCTTTCCGTTCGAGAATGGTGTTGGGACCTGCCTAGCACTTTTCCTTTGGAGTTTTCCATGTCTCTGGGTGTGGTCCTGGGAGGGGGAGGCAGGCAGGTTGTCTGGAGCTCATTTTGCTCCCGTCCATTCATTAGATGAATAATGTCTGCCTTTCGCAGAAGCTGCGGTGAATCTCAAGTGTGTCTATCCCACGTAACCTCTGGGAACTGTTCAGGGCTTTTCAAACTGTTCAGTGGCTGCAGTGTGGCTGGTGCTCACTCACCACCTTCCCAGGAAGAATGGTTGTGTGGGTTTTTGCAGCATTGTTTCCAGAACCTTAAATCACTCCGGCTGTTTTAGCAGCCATGACATGTTTATTTGCAGTATGTTCCTTGGCTGTCTTAGGTGACTTACTTATGCTGGAAGTTAAGACAATTTGATTTCAGTTGGAGGTGAAGCTCAGGCTGGTGTTTCCAGCTGTGGTTAGGCTTGGCTGGAGTGGCACCAGATGAAAGGCTTGGGCAGCTCAGAAGTACCTCTGCCAGTCCCTTAGTGACATCTGCCCTTTGTGGTCATTTATAAGGTTGTGGGCAAGGACAGCAGATACTTTTCCCGGATGCTCGAAACTCAAATGATTAGCCAGTATTGCATGTCTTTCAGGCACTTAAAAACTACTGTTTGCTTTTATTAAGGCTGGTGAAAACGGTGATTGTGTTCTTTTATGACATATGCAATCAGTCTAGCCCTAGACTACCCACTCTGGACTTCTGTTTGCCACTTCCTCTAGGGAGTGATGGCTAAATTTGTTATAGAAATAAGCAGAGAGCTTGAAGTTAAAGGGAGTTGGATGTGGGTCTGTAGAATCAGGATGTGGAAGAGGAGAGGCCCAGGTGTCAGTGACAAAAATCAATCAAATATGCAGAGCAAGAAAACACTCAGATTTAAGTTAATACGGAGCATCAAGGAGCTACTGTGTGGGGCTGGAGAGGTGGCTCAGGGTTATTGGGAGCACTCGCTGCTCTTGTAGAGGACCTTGTAGTTAGAATTCTAATAGGTCTTTTTAATAAAAAGCCCAGAGCCGGAAATTGGGGTAAATGCTGAAAGATCAGAGAGACAAAGGAACAAGCCACAGCCACATCTTACCTCTAGGACTCCTCAGCCTGAAAAGACTTCAGCTGAAACAGCTTCAGCCAAAAAGCTTTAGTTCCTGTCTCCTCATGCTTTATATACCTTTCTCCGCCCAGCCATCACTTCCTTCTTAGTGCTGGGATTAAAGGTGTGTGATTCCTAAGTACTGGGATTAAAGGTGTGTGCTACCACTGCCTGGCTCTGTTTCTCTCCTAGACTGAGTCAATCTCATGTAGTCCAGGGTGGCTTTGAACTCACAGAGATCCAGACAGATCTCTGCCTCCTGAGTGCTAGGATTAAAGGTGTGTGCCACCACTGCCTGGCTTCTATGTTAAATCTAGTGACTTGTTCTGTTCTCTGATCTTCAGGCAAATTTTATTAGGGTACAACAAAATATCACCACAGGATCCCAGTTCAATTCTCAACACCCACATAGGGCAGTTCCAGGGGATCTAATACCCTCTTGTGGCCTCTGTAGGCACCCACATGAACTATATGTTCTCTCTCTCTCTGTCTGTCTGTCTGTCTGTCTGTCTGTCTGTCTCTCACACACAAACAAAACAATTTTATAAAGAAGAAATTACTGGACACCTAGACATAGTGGCCATGCTTGTTGTCCCAGCACTTAGGAAACTGAGGCAGGAGTGTTGGATGCAACTCCAAGGCCAGCCTAGGCTATGTAGTGATTTGAGTTCCAGGCCATCCTGAGCTAGATAGAATAAGACTTTACCACAAAGCACCAAGTAACCTAAAGACAGACAAGTAATAAAAATACTACTTGAGAGCTGTATGAGAAGCCTAGTAGTTTTCAGCCTTAGTGTTATTTAAAAAAAAAAATGAGTTTGGGGGACACACAAAGACAGCGGACCCAGGACAGCCTTGTTTTCCAGCTACTGTGCATGAGCCGTATGCAGTAGGGGCTTAAGGAAAATGGACGAGATCAAGAGCAGGCACTGATATAGAGCTGGGTTGTAGTGTGTGCAGCAGAAAGCTGGGAGGTGTGCGTGTGCAGGGGGGTTGGGGAGGGAGAGATGCTGTTTTAACCATTGATCTCATGTCAAACAGCAACCTGTATAAAACGCTCTCTTCAGTCTTCAGTTTGAGTAATCATTTCTTATTTTAAGGTAGAGGGGGATTATGGTAAAAACAGTCTCTGCCACTCACCCTCTCCTTCAGTTCTCATACTCAGAGAGAACAACCTAGAACTCCACAGTTTCTTCTGTATCTGTGTCCGTGTGTCTCTTCCTCCCTCCCTCCCTGGCGGAGCCCAGGGCTTCAGCATGCTGGGCAGGAGCTTTTCCTCTGAGCTGCAGCCCTAGGCTTACTCCACTGCTGCCTGGCATTGCCTGTGGCTGTCCTGCTACTGAAGGGAAGAAGCATTTAGAGTTCATTCTGCTTCCACAGCTTCCACCCTAGACGTACCATCAGGACTAGAGTCAAATCCTCATGGTTCAGAGTATAAACAGTGGTCTCTGTGTCCCTAGAGTCAACTGTTTTGGTGACATTTCTTCTCCACATCCACCCCCACTCTCTCTCTCACTTCCACCCCCTCACCCCACCCCACCCCACACCCCACCCCCTTGTTCTCACTAAGCTTTCTGCCATCTATCATTGGGTTTCCCTATCATTGGGTTTCCCCGGGCTGCTTAGGCACACGGTGAGCCATGCTTATGAAGGGTCCCACCCCTCACTCCCACCCCTGCATCAGTTTCCTTCTGTTCTCTAGGGTTCCTTTTGAGACTGTGTCTGGCATTCTGACGGCAGTTATTGTCTGTAGAGCAGCATTTTTGTTTTTCCCCTACCTGGAGCCTTTGGGACCCTCCCCTCCTCCTCTTCACCTTCCTCCTTTTAATCTGTTTTTGCGCTGTCGGGTTTTGCGAGGACCCTTCACTTGGTCTGTCTTCTCTTACTGTTTGATTGAAGCCGTGGCCGTGGGCACTTTGCCCCCCAGTTCTGTGAAGCACCCTTTGTGCTGATTTCTTGGGTCATTTGTGCCCCTTTCCATTTCTAGTTCTCTTTCTTGCTACTTTCTAGGAGATTGCTTTGATCTGTTACAAAACGCTGATACAATTTTAAATTTTTTCATAAACCTATCTGTAGTTTTTAGGAATTCCTTTTGTTTTCTTTCTTTTATTTTTATTGTTTTTTTTTTTTCTTGTTGTTATTTGGTTTGTCCTGAGGTAGTGTCTCTCTGCGTAGCCCTGGCTGTCCTGGAATTCACTGTGTAAACCAGGCTGGCCTCAGACTCGCAGAGATTCACCTGCCGCTGCCAGAGTGCTGAAATCAAAAGCATGTACCAGCAAGGTCAGCTCGTTTGTTTTTCTCAACGATGTATCTGAAATAAGAATCCCTTTCCTCTCAACTGAAAAAAGAAAACTTCAGTTATATTTTAATAAGCAGGGAATCTATTTATTGATTAGCTAAGACACTCTAAGGTATAAATCTAAGAGCTGGATAAATATCTACTGGAACCCATAGCGGATCTGCTAATCAAATATTTTTAGTGGAGACGGAGAATATTTTTTTCTTTTTAAATTTTTTTATTTTTTAAAAAAAATTCTTTTAACTTCTATTGATTCTTTGTGGATTTCACATCATGCATTCCGATCCCGCTCACCCCCCGTCCTCTCGCATCCTCCATCTGCCATTGCAACCTCCCCCAGAAACAAAACAAAATTTAAAAGAAAAACCAAAGACCAAACGTGACAAACAGAACAAAACAACAACAACAATAACAATAACAGAAGAAGACTCTCATCGTGGAGGCTGTAGTGCGGCCTGTTGAGTCACACTTTACCTTTGGTCCATTCATCTTTACTTGTAAGTCCTTATTGCTGTGAGTCACTGGCCTGGCTCAAGGCCTCTGGTTTCTGCTATGCGGCTGATAATGGGCTCTCCCTGGGGCTCCTCTTGGATAGCCTGTTGTCCTGTGTCATGGGGATCCTGCTGTTTTGAATTGTCACCTTCCCATGCTCCAACAGTTCATAAATGTGATGGATGCTGGGGTGGGCCAACTCATAGTCCTGGTTCTGGGCGTGGGTGGTAGCTGGGTTGGTCAATTCACTGACTTCCCTCATCGTCACTACCTAGGTGAGCTCTCCAGCACTGCCCAGGCTAGCTCACCCAGTGCAGCCTGCAGCAAGGAACGGGGCCAGTTCTCCTCTTCTCAGGTCCTCAGATCAGGGGCCCCCGCACTCACACCACCAGGGCCAGCTCTACTGTTTTACTCAGGCAAGGTGCAGGGCCCTCTCTCCGATTGCTGTAGGGGACTTCTGGGGGAAGGGGTCAGCTCTCCTGCTCTCATGTCCCCAGGGCTGGCTCCCTCCCCTGCACCCACTACAACAGGGTCAACCCTAGTGTGCCACTCAGGTGGGATACAGGGTCTGCTCTCCTGTGTCCTGCAGCTGGTGAGGGGTTCTCTCACTCTCTCACCGGCAGGTAGCAAGGGGCAGAGGGGGCAGGGCATCTTTCCCTCACCGATGCCACTGTATGGCCTTCAGGGCCAGCTCACCTGTGTCCGAGGATCTTTTTCTTTTAAAGATTCATTTTTATTTTTGAATTATGAATATGTGTGTGTATCTGTGTGGGCAGATGTGCATGTCAGGGCAGGCGCCTGTGGAAGGCAGGAGAAAAAAGTGTTAGATCCCCTGATGGTGGAATTGCAGGTGGTTGTTGAGTTGTCCAGTGTGGGTGCTGGGAATTGAACTGGGGTCCTTGGAAAAGGCAGTATGTGCTCTTAAGTACTAAGCCATCCCTCCAGCCGTGTGCAGACTCTTAATTCATGTTTAGAGCACCAATCTCCCCCATTGGCAGAGCAGAATTCCTTATGAAAGAAGAAATGGTTGTAAAAATATGATCTGCATTTGATATACACAGATACACTTGAAGGAACGAGCCTCATTGGTCCTCATAGCCTTGCTTTGTGTGGAGTGTGGTATATAAGTCTCAGACACATTAGGTGAAAGTATAGAGTTTGGCCCCAAGAGGAGTTTCTGTGATCTTGGTCTGCCCTTGGGCACATTAAATGATGGCTGCGCTATCTCTCTTCCCTCTGGCTTGGAGCAGTTCCCTGCCAGCTGCTTTCCAGGTCTCCTCCCCAGAGCAGTGTGGGGAATCTCTGCCTGGGGATTCCCATGTCCTGGTGCAGTATGCCTTAGCGTTGTGGCTTCGCTGTCTGTTTATCACATTAGGCTTTCCTGGCAGTTCATCTGATGCTTCATGGATGTACTCCTCCGTTCATAGTGTGGGTTTCCATGCAGCAGCCTCTGGGACTGAACCTTCTCCTTTGGCTCTGTCTCTTCCTTGGTTTCGGACCCAGCGCCTCTGTCCATCTCCTCAGCCTGTTAGGAGCGTCGGCAGGAACTTCTTCCTCCAGTGGGCCTGGAAATGTACTGAAGCTCTGCTCAGAAATGTCCCCCTGGTTCCCAGGCTGCAGCTCCACCAACTCTGTTTGATGGTGACAATTCCTGTTCCCAGGGGAGGTGCTTAGCCTGCAATGGCTCTTCACACACCTTGTAACCATCCTAATGCCATTTCCCCATGGGCCAGGGGGTTTCGCTTTTACAGTTGGAGTTGGTTGCGGATGACTGTAAGCGCATGTTTACGTTTTCTGCGTCCCCGGTCGGATATAGCAGGCACAGCAGTTTGCCAGTTGTTTTTGTTTCTTATCTCTAGTCACCACTCCAGGCCATCTTCCTCCACACAGCAGGAAATGGGCACATCCTGTTCCTCAGATTTGCACTTTGCATCTGTGCCCTGGAGAGTAACAGAATTGTGGTCCTGGATTCCATGTTCAAAATCCTATGCCTGTGACTGTCACATGTCGGGTCAGGTGCTCAGTCACTCACAACTAAAGCTGCTGAATAGTTTCATGAGATTATTCACTCTAGGCTCTTGAGCATGCGTGTGTGCATGCGTGTGTGTGTGTGTGTGTGTGTGTGTGTGTGTGTGTGTGTGTGTGTGAAGAGAGAGAGTTTGTCTACCATGCATGTGTGTATGCACTTACTCTTATGTGCACACATGGAGGCCACAGGTTGACATCAATTGGGTGTCTTCCTCTAGGACTCTCTACCTTAATTTTTTGAGACAGGGTCTCTCACTGAAGCTGGAGGTGGTTGTCTCAGCGAGACTGACTGGTCGTCAAGCCCCTGCTATCTGCCTGTTTCCATCTCCCTACCCCAGTGCTGTGTTTATAGATGTTTACGTGCTTGCTGGGGATCTGAACTCACGTTCTCATACTTGCAGAGCAGACATTTTATCCACTGGGCCATCTCTCCAGGCCTCTCTAGCTATTTCATCTTTTTGAAATCTGAGAATGGCAATAGCAGGTGGTGAAATGAGAAACGCGATTGTCCCACTCTCAGATAAAGCACATGCTGGAGTGGGATTTGAAGGCAAGCATTTGGCGGTGCTCTAGGCCATTGCTCTGTGGGTGGTGGAACTTGGCCCTAAAGAAAATGGGCTTAATGTGACATTTCCAGGATCCTCAGGAGCTGCAGCCTGCAGGTTAAGAAGTTGACTGACCATCCAGGCAGTGGTGGTGCACACCTTTAATCCCAGCACTCGGGAGGCAGAGGCAGGCGGATCTCTGTGAGTTCGAGGCCAGCCTGGTCTACAGAGGGCGTTTCAGGACAGCTAGGACTGTTAGACAGGGGAACACTATCTCGAAAAACCAAAACCAAACCAAACCAAACCAAAACAAAAAACAAAAAAAAGAAAAAGAAAAAAGAGAGAGAGAATGTGACTGACTTAAAGGCTTCAAGTGGGCTGTTCCAAAAGTAAGTTGAAGGGTAAATCCTGGGTTCTCCTGAGGTCAAGGAATCATCACTACACCCCTCTGCCCTGTACTCAAGTAGCAGAGCACAGATGGTATGGCTGCTCTAAGCTTGTTCCTTTAGGTGAGGCCCAGCCATGGAGGCGAGGGAGCAGGTGTCCTCTGGCTGCAAAAGGCACTGCTGTGTTTGTGTGTACGGGTGAGGGCCTGATGCTCTGTGCACCTCTCCTGGGAAATCCTGCAGTGTCTGGCCCAGCTTCGGAGTGTGCGCTTCACTGCACGTGCTTCCGTGCCTTGCATGCTGTGGCCCACTCCATGCTGGTGACATACTTCATGCTAGCAGCAAAGAAAAGAGACAATATTGGGTTGTAAACTTCTCTCTCTCTCTCTCTCTCTCCAAGATTATCCTGAAGGCAATAATTCGAGTGACTATCTTGTTCAAACAACAACGTATCTTCCACAAAACTTCACCTATTCACCGAACCTCCCCTGTCCAGAGAAGCTGCCTTATATGCGTAAGTGTGAAGTCTTCTCTTGTGACGGGTGTCCTGTTCATTATAAAGGATTAAAAACCACGTGGTTTGAACATGTCATCAGATGGATCATTATTGTGGATGCTGACATTTTGACTCTACCTCATGTTTTCCCACTTTTTAATTTTAGTTTTTGGAGGGGCAGTGAGCACAGTTTTTGATGGTGGGCGGTTGAAAGCTGAAGAAAAATACAGAAGAGAAACAAAGGATATTGACACCTGTATTTCTCCCATCTAGATTTGCAAAAATACTTTGACTTAATTTTTTTTTTTTTAAATTTTCGAGGCAGGGTTTCTCTATGTATCCCTGGCTGTCCTGGAACTTGCTTTGTAGACTAAGCTGGCCTGGAGTTCACAGAGATCCACCTGCCTCTGCCTCCGGAGTGCTGGGATTTAAGTCATGTGCCACCACACCAGGCTTTAACTTTTAAATTCTCTTCAAGCAGATGGAAAAAGAGTAACTAATGTGATTTCTCTCTTTGGATGTTAGAACATTATAGGTTGAGTGGAAGTCTTCTCTTCCTCTCCCTATGTGGGTTGCCCTCCCCGCCTCAGAAATGACCTGGTATCTGTCTGTCTGATGTGTGCACATACAGAGTACCATAAACTTAGTTTTACATAGATAAACGGAGAGAGAAAATACATAGTTTCAAAGGCTTTAAGAATTTTCCTACCCAAGAAGCTATCTCCAATTGACAGTCGCTTACAAAGGAAAACTCAGTGTTCTCAATGGAGTCTCACTGGGTATACAAATTCCTCTTAAGGGCAAGCCCATGCCCAGCTGTAGATGGCCAACACAAAAATGAACTCAATGGTATTTTTTGTCTTATAGTGATTTGTCTGGGCTTTCAAAAATGTATTTATTTAATTGCCTAACAGATATTTTGCTTAAATATTATAGTTTCCGGTTTTGTGTTTTTATGGAGTTTTTGTGTGTGCAAGTGTGTGTCTCTGTGTCTGTGTTTCTTGTGTTTTTCCTTTGGCTCTTTTTTTTTTTTTTTTCTTTTTTTTGGTTTTTCGAGACAGGGTTTCTCTGTGTAGCTTTGTGCCTTTTCCTGGAACTCACTTGGTAGTCCAGGCTGGCCTCGAACTCACAGAGATCCGCCTGGCTCTGCCTCCCGAGTGCTGGGATTAAAGGCGTGCGCCACCACCGCCCGGCTTCTTTGGCTCTTTTTTTTTCCCCTCCTGTTTGTTTCTTTGTTTTGTCTGGTTCTGGTTGTTGGTTTTAGTTTTTGTTTTCAAGTTAGATTCTTATTTGTTTAATGAGAGAGAGAAAGAAAGGGTATGGATTTGGAGGATCTGGGAGGAGTTGAGGGGATTTCATTCCTGCTGCCCACATGCAAAGTTCAGGTGAGGGGGACCAGCATATATTGTGTGAAGAAAAATCTATTTTCAATCACAAAAAAAGAAAGAAAACAACCAAAAACAAAAAAAAATATAGATGGTTGTCTAAATTACATGTTAATCTGTGACCTGAATTTTAGCTTGTTTTTTGAGAGTTACCCACAGTCTTGCACGTGGATCTGAGTCGGTTCTCTGAACCAATGTGGAGAATGTCTTTGTATAAACATGCTGTGTTTTATTTTCCAGTGCTCACCTGATGGGCAGTTAGGTGGTTTCCACTTTTCTTTCTTTCTTTTTTTTTTAAGTCACACAAATGAGAAAAAAAACCTCCTCTATCTTCCTTATCTAAAGAGCAATGCAGCCCGGCCCTTCCTGCTCCCAAGTGCGTGCACACTCCGGAGTTGATAACTCGAGGTTGGCTGCTGTTCTAGCTGCCTCGGGTTTTCAAGTTTCCCCCAAGTTATTTCGATAACCAGGACTGATTTATATTGCTTTGTTGTTGGTAGACTTTGTGGTCTTTCTAAACAATTATTTATTTATTTTAACTGTGTTTTGCGGGAGGGCTTAAGTACCCGTCCTTGCTTGTGGTTCACGGAGGTCAAAAGAGGGTACCCCGATCCCCCCGCAGCTGGAGCGACAAGGATGGCCGGGAGTTTCCCAGGTGTGGGTGTTGGGAACCCCCTGTCAGAGTGGGAAGCATTCTCAACCTCTGGGCGGCCCCTCTCCTCTTTGCGGTTTTTTTAACGGCTGATCAAACAGTGGGAACAGTAGCCCATTATTCACCTTTTTACTTATCTCCTTACCAGGGGTCTAGCTCTCTGCCCCTCATGGCTCCGCCCTTGGTGGCTGTTGGGTCCTGTTCACCTGTGGAGGTGTTGACATTCCTGAAGTGACAGCTGTGTGTGCTCTAAGTGTGTTTTCACAGTCCCGGGCTTGCTGTCTAAACTTCTTACGAAGTCTTTTACTTTATGAAGTTCAAATTACAGTTTTTCAAATGGATCAGTCTCTAAGACTTTGCTTTTTTTTCCTTTAAGAAAGCTTTTCTCACCTTGACACCATACAACTATCTTTCTTTCCTGTTAATTTTTGATTTTATTCTTATAGTTTGCATCCAGTGTGTAGTAGTGACCCAAATATATAGTTCAAATATATTTTTTCAAGCATCTATTTTCCCACCTTGTGAGGAGAAAACGCTGCCCCCCAGCTGTCAGAAGCCGCCCCTCTCTTACTGCCGTGGGACTCCACTCCACTCTTTTAGGAGTAGTTTCTGTACACTGGTTTGTATCTTGATTTGATGTGCTGGAAGATTTAAATAAACTTTTTGATTGCTTATGTTTCCCCATGCTCTATTGCACTTGGTGTCTAAGCGTGCTTCTTAGGTCTTTATTGGGAAATTGCTCTCTGCCTACCATGGATGTAGGTTGGCTTTTTAGTTAATTGTTGGTAGATGTTCTAACTGTAAGACAAAGGAAGACTGGCTTTGCCACATGGCGTACGTAAGGTATGATTTTCTCCATGGAGGGTGCATCAGAATCACCCAGAAGGTTCTGTAGAGCACAATGTCCCTATGCCCTCTGAGTTCCCCTTTCAGTGGGGTTAAAGTGGCACTGGGAATTTTCATCTTAAAGTTCCAAGGCGCTGCTGAAACTGATGACGCTTGGGATTCATGGACTTCACCCCAGGCTGTACAGAAGAATTGCCTGGGGAGTGAGCCTCTATCCTCTTTGGTTTTATTGATCTAAACTGTGCCCTGGAATTAGTAAAACAAACAAAAGAGCAAGTGATTCCGATCATGCTAGCTCTGTCCCACGATGAAAAGTGACTCCAAGTGACTTGTGCTAGATCTGTGCATCCCACAACAAAAATGACGAAAGGTGACTTTTTTGGCCTCCTCATCTGTCATTTGCTATGACAGCCTTGCTTCCCCAAAATAAATGTTTTTGTCTGTGCAATACTGAAGCCACTGGGAAATGTTCTGTTGGAGTATTGATTACAGTAATTTCATCTTCATAATTTGCATATTCAGGGAATTATAGTTGTAGGAAATCTTTGTCCTTGGTGTAGTGATCATTTTCTTCATTAGTGGTTTATGGATACTAATTAAACAGTTTGAACGTGTCTGCCTGCCAGGCCCTCATGCCAGCATCCCTGACCTATAAGAGGCTCTGGGGCTGCCTCTCCACTGTACGGACAGTTACCCATTCACAGCAGGCTTCTCCAGGGTTCCTAGCTTAAGACTGAGTACCAATCTCATGTCCAGGGACCCAGGGCAAGTGGGCTATTTGACAGAAAATATGACCATGTACAGGTGATCTTTCAGAAGGGGACTATAAGTATAACCACATAATGAGGCTCCTGCAGAGAGCGTCCTTTGTCATCAGAGTGGGGGCGGGGAGAGCACTTTGCTGGTCATGTGACTCTGCCCAGGGCATCTCTGTACCCATCTGTAACACCCACTGCAGTGCCAGCTTAGGTGTGAATGAGGGGTGAATCGCAGTATGGAGTGTGAAGCTCCATGGATATTAATTAGATTCTTTCCTTCTTTCTCCTTTTTTTTTTTTTTTTTTGAGGGAGCCAGACTTTGTAAGGGAATGAGACATGTGTATCATCCTGAAGCTTCCTACCTAGTTGTGCAGCTTTAGAACAATTCCCTGTGACCACAGAGAGCAGCATTATGGGGCGTCTGGGTGTAAAATCTTGGTAGTTGGATGCAAAGCATTCAAATATGGGTGATACTTAATTTCCCTGTAACTGCCCGCTGCGATGTGAACTAATGATGGTGTGCTTGATTATGGGAGTGTCAGTTCCTCCAGAGTCCCCCCTGGTGTACTGTAGGGTAGCTAGCCCTGGGTTTCCGTACTGTGGGGTTTGAATTTCAGCAGTGTCTGGTATCAGTAGTGGCCAGTCACACTATAAAATCTATCTTCATTCACGTTATTTGTATGAAGAGGGTGAGTGACTATTTCATTGCTATTTAATATTTATAGACTCTCCAGAGGCCAAATCCACTCTCAGCTTTTTTGAATCTTGTAAGACTCTTGGTGATAACCAAGCGGAATAGAAATCTGTCCTCCCAGAGCATAAACACAGTGCTTAGCATGGATGTTTTGATTTTGATTTTTCTGCGTGAGTTGGAGATGGAAAATGCCAGTTGTGCAAGCTGCATAACAATGAAGATCGACTTACCTTCCATCTGACTGATTGTCACTCAGACAGAATGCACCGGCAGTGACTTTTCCTTATCCCTACCTTGCCCCGACAGTCCCTGTAGTTGCCAACCTTATGAAAGCTGGCCAAGATGAATTTGAATGAGTGGATTGAAATTCAGCAAAGGGGGAAAAGCAAGTAAACTCTAGAAGAGCTCCCACAATGCTTAATGCAACAAACTGTCGTATCATGTGGACGTCTGCTGTAAAGAGAGACGAGGGAGAGGAGTCAGCACTTGGCTGCAGGCCTGGGTTGTGCACAGGGGCTCTCAGAGGAGCAGAGCTAGTGTGGTCCAGCAGAGCTGGCCAGGAGCAGAGCTGGCCAGGAGCAGGTCACACCCAGAGCAATGCAGTGTTCTGTGCTCAAGGTGAGGCATGAAGAAGAAAGGAGAGTCACTGAGGGACTTGGGAGCTGGGTCTTCAGGCCAGTCCA